AAAAACATTCCTAAGTAAAATCCAAATTATTGATGAAGAAAAATATTTGAATCTTATTTTTCATTCACATATTGATTATGTTTTTGTTGTTTTGTCCTTAAACTTCAATATTTTTATATATATGCCAAATAAAATTGTTTTATCCTCTGAATAATGTTTTAGCAAAACTATTGTCTTTTTAAAGACAATCGTACAAAACAATTGATTAGATACTATATGAGAGGACTTACACAAAATAAAGAATCATATCATAAATATTTTCTTTTTTATAATAAATCACCTTGCATATATCTTAGTTGAGCTAAATTTTTTAATATTCACACAATAATGTTATTATTATGCATCATATGCAATGAGACGCATAATTATAAGATATATTGACTTTCAATTTTCTCAAGGTACATATTTCTCACTCTCCATTGTTATACTCGATACACAAAATATAAATTTAAATAACAATAAATTTATAATTATCTATTTTTCTCAGAATACATATCCTTGATTCTTATTATGTCAATTTAAATTTAAAAATAACAATGAAATAAATATCATTGATTCTTTATTATTATTACTATTATTTCATTAGGCATGTAAATTGTGATTACATAATGTTAAATTCATTAATTTCATTTCATATGAAAAAAAAATATCTTTATTAAGAAAAAAATATTCATTATATGACATAGCTACCACAACACATTAATATTCTCACCTAATGAGATTTAGTATGGATGGATAAAATCGCTACAACTTATTAAACCTATGACAAAAAAAGCTAACAAGATAGAACTTCAGGAACTCATTTTAAATAAATGAAGAGTTAATTCAACTCTATTTCAAATTATCTCAATTATATATTAAAAACGAATTAGGTTTTATCCAAATTATATTCAACCCAATTATATATTCAAATCATATCAAGTTAGATTTTTTTTTTTGCAATATATATTCATCCAAGTTATATTAATATCTGAGCATGTCATTATGTCATAATAATTATTCGATAATATCATTTGAACATGTCATTATTTCTAGTACGGTATAACACTTAATTACAAATATAAATCAATCATCAAACTTCATGTTATAAAAAATCATATATCTATATGAATTTGACCGCCCTTGTATACTTCAAAAATATGTTCTACTTTAAACAGTTGAGTAATAACTTTAAATTAAGCACATTTCAAGCAAAACTCTAAATTGAGAACACCATACTCATAGAATTGAGCACACATCAGTTATTATTTTAAATTAAATTTACATTAACTTTAATGATACTTTACAAATTACGAGTATGAATTGCACAGTTGTTAAGAAAAAACTTGTAGTAATTGATTCGACTTGGTCATACCTGCAATAGAGATCAAAATAATTAACTCGCTTAAAAAAGTTTTATAAAATTTCATAAATGAGACTTACTTAGTAAACTTTGTTTACATTCAAGTTATACTTTGAGGGGACTTATGTACCTTTTTGAACATTTATTATATAACAAAAATAATTCCCTGTATCAATGCATATTATGATAATAATTCATAACTAATCTACTTGAATACTCGGTCATGATAAGCATAAAACAACTATAATTTACTATTTAAAATACCCTGGTAAAATGCCTATAAATAAGACCAATCTATTGTTTATGTATCATCTTATTCCTGTTTAGAGACTTTTCTATTATTACTATTCACATTCTTTATTCTCGACTTAAAAATTGGAGTGTCTTTTCAAGTGAAACTCCCTTTTCTTCCAATCTTCAAAAGAACTTGATTTAATAGATCAAAAGGTGACAATTATCTAGACCGACTTGTCTAAGCTTATTCATTATTGTAATTTTTTTATAAAAAACAACTTCATTTCATAAACTTATAGATTTTTTTTGTCTAATAGATTAAGAAATAATATTATTACAAATACACTTATATTTATAAAAGTTTAACTACTTTCCTTTAATATTTTAAAATTAAATAATGCTACTACCTATGTCATTCCATTATTAATAAAAAATATTAATGTATAATTTAGAATAAAAAGTTTTAAATTTTTCATATTTTTTTCTTTCTCAACTATATATGTCTCTTATTTTCATATTTTATCTTTAACTTAGTCTTGAATGATATATCATTATCTATGTCGACTTGTTTCAATTTGGGTCGACTTGCCTTGAACTAGCTCGTCTCATTCTGAAATTACCAAACTTGGATAAACATGGTCTAGCCATCTAAGTTGGCCTAACCTAACTTGTTATGACTTGGTTTAACCTAACCAAACTCATTCAACTAGACACGACATGTTATGATCATACTTAACCCATCCTGACCTAGGTCTTGACCTGACCTATTCTATCTTGACCTAATCCAACTCATCTCGCCTTGATCGAACCCAACCCGACGCAACTTAACTGTCTTAGCTTAATCCAATCATTCTTTATTACGCTTGACCTAGCTACCTAGAGTAGACTTGGTCCACCTCAATCAAGTCCAACCCAAGTTATCCCAACTTGATCCACCCCTACTCATCTTTATTTATCGCTTCCTTACACATCTTAGCTTGCCCTAAGCCAACCTGTCTCCCCTTGGTCCATCCTGATCCAAATAACCCAATCTAACTTGATTTATCCTAATAACTCTAACTTGTCCTAACATGACTTATCTTATCTTGACACGACTTAACTTAATCTGACCTAGTTTAGCTCAATCTAACCAACTCTACCCAACCTTTCCAATCCAGTACAATTTGTCTCAACCATAATCAACCTTACTAGCTTGATTTAACCTAACCCATTGATGAGTCATTTTCCCGCATTTTCTTATCTTTCTGTACTTATCTTAATTAGTGCAGTGTGCTTAATTGTCTATTATTAGTGCATTTTCATTGATTGGGCTTCATTGGACCATTATTTCAAATTTTTCTTAATTTAGCATTAATTGGTCTAATTTTCGTTTCTAATTATTTTTAGGTATTTTTGGTGAAGCAATTTTGGAGCTTGGACATTAATCTTAAGATGAAGAGAGTTTACACATCATTTCCACGTCATTTCCACATCATTTCCATGTCATTTCCACGTCATTTAAGTGATTGGGCCAACATTTGAGGCCTAGAGTGGCATTTTTGTAATTCTAAACCCTAGAATGACATTTTTGTAATTATGGAGTGCTGAGATGAGGAGAATACAGGAGAGGGTTTCATTTTTAGGAGAGGGGGCTTCTTCCAAACACTCATTCTCCATTTTTGGAGTTTGGGAAGCTCTCCATGGTGCCACCACTTAGGTTTTGCGTTTTCATTATTGGATAGACTCTATTTTCATGTTTTCTTCTCATTTTCAGCTTGGAACAACTTGGTATTTGTATTTTGACGTTTGGAACAGTGCCCACTTGGGGTTTTTTGGTTTTTCTACATATTGGATCTTTGGTGTTTCGGTTTCCAGTTCTTTCATATATCTGATGAAGTATTTTCGTTCATTTCTATATTTGCGGTTCATTTCCATGGCTAGCTAAACTTTGAGTATTGATTCCTTTAGGAGAATGTGATGAACCCTTGAGATTTTTGTGTTTTGAATAATTTCTGCCATGTCCAGTTTTGGTCTTCATCTAATTAACTTTGTGCTTGATGAAGGGATGACAAATTTGATGTATGTTTAATCTCATATTTGTGTTCTTGCATTTAAACAACCCCTGCTCATGCTTAATGGATGTGGGTTGTACATGGTTGCTTAATTTGTGGCACCAATGTTGAATGATGTATGTTTGCTTCATGCATATTGGACTCGTTTTTAGTCTTCGCTAAGTTGTCTAGTTTCGGGTTTCAAGATTGAACTGGGCATTCATTTTGGTAATCTGTGATAGGTGGATTTACATTTGAATTAAGGAATCAATACATTTTCAATCTCTGCTTTTTGTCACTGTTGTTGTTTTGTAGAATTTAAATTGTGTTTATCTGTTTCATCTACAAACCAACCCCTCCCATCATTGTTTTATCGGTTTGATGTGTGAATCTTTTATTGAAACTAATGGTCCTTGGGAGACGACTTATGAGTCACTTCCTAGTATTGCATTTATTTGATCAAGTACATCACCCATTCCACTTCTTTATAGTCTACTTCACCCTAACTTAATCAATGTGGTTAAGGGTTAAGGGTTAAGGAGTATAAGTTAGACCTAATTGAATCTATCCAAATAATAAAATTAAAATTTAATAAAGTTAAATTATCCTATCCAAATAAATTATTTAAAAAATTAAACAATTTAAAATAAAAATTATTTAAATTTAATGTATTTGAATCTATCAAAAATTATAAAATATCCTCGAACAAAAAAAAATTGTTAAACTCCCTCCCCCAACAAAAAAAATCAAAATAAAATTGTTTTTTACTAAATTAAATTAAACTTTTTCCAAATTTAGAAATCAACTAAATCTTAATTTATTTATTTTTGTTAAATACATATAAGTTTTATATTTGTTGTCTATACTAAGTGCAGAATTAGATTAATATAAACATAATGCAATAATATTATTTTTGTTTTTAATAAAATGAAATATTTATAATATATGTATATATATGTCATTCATTTTTATCAAATGATAAGTAAATTTTACAATTATAAATAGTTATAAACTCAAATGAGACAAGCTTTATTTAATTATCATTGACATTTTGCAGGAACCTATACAATTTTAGTAAAAGCTAGTTTTAATTTCTAATTTGAAATGATATTATTCAAATAGTAGAACAAGGTGATTCAACTACCAATAAAATTTACATGAAACTAAATAAATGAATCCGGTTATTTTGTTTCTTCTTCTGTGTCCATATCCCTTCAATATCATACATACATATTCTCATGAATAAGAGTTCTATGTTACAAATCAAAATTGCGCTGGAGTTGCAAAGATCATATCTAGTTTACTTTCTCAATTAGAAAGAGCATCTCAGCTATCAGCAAAAATAATATAACAAGTTGTCCAAGCTTGTACCTCTCCCCTTCCCTCTCCATAACATGTACAAAATGTCCCACTATCGATTAAATGAATTACTATCATGCACAAGACAAGGAACTACTTCTGACTTAGCTGAAGCAATGCACAAAGCATGCAACAACTTGTCTCAGATGTCCCTACCAATAGTAAAAAATCAAGGCAATCAGTCACCAACCAAGCAGTTTAAGATCAAGGCAACCAATCAGTCACCAACCAAGCAGTTTAAGATCAAGGCAACCAATCAGTCACCATCCAAGCAGTTTACGATCAAGGCAACCAATCAGTCATCATCCAAGAAGTTTAGGATCAAGATAACCAATCAGTCAATCAATACTAGCTAGCTGCTGGTGTGCAACAATCAAGAAATTTGGAATCAATTTCCAGCCCATGCCGCAGTTACTCATGCACAGAGTGTCAAAGTAGCTTTCATTGTGCACATATAATGTGACATAAATAATCAATCAATGCGGAATGACATACGGAAGAGCAAAGACATCTGCTGACTCTATGTGCAGAGCTTCTGCCCATACCAGTGGTGCATCCCCAACCTCTGAAGATTTTACCACGGATTTTCTTTCCTGTGAAAGATTGATGCCAAATAGCCACTCTTCATCTTCAAAATCAGACCAATGATCCATCTTAGGTACTGAATATACCTGTTCTAGGTACTTAGTATCTGGATGGGGTGATTTTACATAAGCTTCGGTTACAAAATCAATTGACTTGTGAGTCTTGTTCGATGAAGCTGAAAATGACTGAGTCTCAATGATGCCATTTATCTTGCAATCTTTGTTTTCTACTTCAACACCAGTGGGTAACTGTGACCTATCTGAGAGATCTGGAGTGGAAATTTGACAAGGTTCCAATATCCTTCCATTTTCAGGGAAGGAGTGAGGAGAAGACAATTTTGGAAACTTATTGGGAAAACTGTCATTAACTGTAAGAAAGATAAAAGAAATTATAACTTAATGTATACCAACTTGAGAATATATAAACAAAAACTTAACAATAATTAAGAATATGACATTAGTAAAAATCAACATATCTCTGATTTATTCTTATTCTTATTCAAATACTAATTTACAATATCACTTAGTAGAAATGAGAATAAGACTCGTCATAAATAACACTCACCACGTGGAACTCCATTTGACTCAATGTCCTTTCGTTTCTTAAGATTTTCCTCACTAACAGCATACACAAGGCTGTTCTTAGAAAGCTTTGCAAAAGAATTTGAATCTTCAAGTCCAATTTTATTGCTTTCTTTTGATTTATTTTGCTCTGCTGTTTTAAGTTCACTACGCTCCTTAGTTTTTTCCTCCTTCCTCTTCTCTTTATCCCTGTCTTTGTTCTTCCCATGCCCTTTCTTCTCCTTCTCTTTATCCTTCCTTTTATCTCTTCTTTTATCATCCTTCTTTTCCTTAACCTTTTCCTTTCCTTCTTCTTTCTTTTCCTTAACCTTTCCTTCTTCTGCCTTTTCCTTAACCTTTCCTTCTTCTGCCTTTTCCTTCGCCTTTTCTCTATCCTCATCTTTCTTCTCCTTAACCTTTTCTTTCCCTTCAACTGTTGTTTCCAGATTCCTTTCAAAATACTTCCCCAAATGTTTGGGCACTCCATCAACTCTAGAATGAAAATTTCCAGTATGATTCGGAACTGGTGCATTTCCAAAAGGTCGGACCTCAGTTTGTATTCCTGTCCCATCAATCTTCTTAACAACAATACCCTTATCCATGAGTTTTTCATTACCATCAGGCCTGGTGCCACCAGCTTTAGCCACCAATCCAATAGCTCCCTCATCATTTCTATTGTTTGTATTAGTAAATTTATGAACAAATTGATTGTCAGCTCTTCCATTATCATCCCTAATCCTCCTGTCCAACTCCAGGAGGAACTTTGAATCCTTGTTCTCCTCAGCCAGATGATTTCTCTCTCTTGCCTTCTCCCCATTACTACCAGTACACTGTTTGGTGAGTCTGTTCTCAAACATGATATCTTTCTTATCATCTTCCTTAATTCCCTTTGGATGCAGATTACCTGCATTGAGGCCCTCAGCTTGTCTTGGAAATCCTTTGTCATCTGCAGTACTGATTTTATTTTTATCTCTATCTTTGCTCTTGTCCTTGTCTTTATCTTTCTTTTTCTCTCTGCGTCTTTCCTTTTTGTCCTTCTTTTCCTTATGCTTACCGTCTCTTCCTTCTTTCTCCCTCTTTTCCTTACTTTCCCTCTTATCCTTGTCTTTCTTATCTTTCTTACGTTTTTTCTCTTTCTGCTTTTCCTGCAAGTAACATTGTAAGTAGAGAGATATTAACAACACTATGGCTTCACTACCTCTAACCAAGAGCAACCCAAGAAAAAAAACAAAAGAATATATCACAAGTAAAACAATCAAAAAATACAAAAATGACAATTGTCTTCTACACTATATATATATATATCTCAAAATATCTAACTACAAAGTGTGTTCTAGATTTTACGAAAGCACATTTCAGCCAACTAATATCCAAACTAAGAGGGAAAATATAATTCCATTGAAGTAAAAAATGAAGGTAAAATACAATTCACTTTGATGCCTTGTTATTAAGCAGTCCCAATGATTATATTCTTTAAACAAAATAGAAACACTTTCGTTAGATGCTAATGCTGGCCATTCTGTTCTGTCTAGTGCTGGCCATTGGATCTGTATTTTCTTTCTTTTTTGCTCTTGGCACAGATTAGAAAAAAGTTATGCAATGACAATTTTGAAGAAAGTTCTATTTTTATGACTGTTATTGAAATAAAGAGATCATATTAACCAGATGAACCAGCAAACTTCACTGATATCTAGAAAACCTTATACTATTCTTCTTCTACCATGTTTAAATAGTTGCATAAAAATGAATGCAAAATAGAACAGATCTCAAACAAATTATCAAATAGAACAAACAACAAAGTAATAGCTTGCTCCTCTTTTATGTGACAAGAAGCAACCCTATCAACCATATTCAATAAAAAAAATCTACCAAATGGTCAAAGACAAACAGCCCCATTAGGACACTCTTAAGTAAAACATGACACTCTAGTTTTTTAACAGCCATTCAATTACCCTAAATTATTAGACCTTTCGCATCATTTTCATTGGTTCAATCTCCAATTTGATTTTGAAAACATTCACATGATTCACAATCTATATACTTAATGCTAGCCATCACTGCTAATGTTTAAAAATAATTACAAGCTTAGTGCAACAAGAGACTAAATGAAATTATTCAAATGAAACAATTTATATAAGGAATGGGGTTCATGCAACTGAATGCAGTCATTGACCTTCCACCTACAGAATGTTCAAAACTTGATTGAATTGAATTTAGAGTATGTATTAGCACATGCAATCAATTTTACCAAACTTCGTATATCAGCACCGAATTGATATTTAAACAGGCTTCTAATCAAAATGGAGACAAAGCCTAGCTTATTTTGAAATTCTCCAAATATATATTAGTTCCTCTGGAAAATTAGATTAAATAAAATCTTATTTTATTATATTAATACAAAGAAATAATACAAGATATATACAGGAAACCTAAGCTATTTTAGGAAATATAATAACTCTATTTTATTCTAGGATCCCTTGATTTATGGGATTGTTCCTAATTGTTCAAATCTGTACAGATTACAAATTTCCTAATTTATTCTTTCCTAAAATACTATTTGATTTCCCACACTCCCCCTCAAGTTGGTGAATAGGTGTTTTCCATTCCCAGCTTGGATACAATCTTCTCAAAATTGTGGCAGCCTAGTCCCTTAGTAAGAATGTCTGCAATTTGGTCTTGAGAGGACACATATGGAGTGCATATCAAGCCACTATCAAGCTTTTCTTTGATGAAGTGTTTGTCTACTTCAATATGTTTTGTTCTATCATGCTGCACTGGGTTGTAGGCTATGCTGATTGCTGACTTATTATCACAATAGAGCTTCATAGGTTCTTCCTATTTTATGCTCAAGTCTTCTAAGATGATTTTAAGTCATAGCAACTCACATATACCTTGTGCCATGGCTCGAAATTCTGCTTCAACATTGGACCGAGCCACTACACCCTGCTTTTTGCTTCTCCAAGTCACAAGATTTCCTCCAAGAAAGGTGCAATATCTTGTAGTTGACCTCCTATCCACAATTGACCCTGCATAATCAGCATCAGTATAGACATTACCATTCCTTTTGAATAGAATCCCCTCTTCCTGGAGTTCCTTTAAGGTAATGTAAAATTCTGTGGGTTGCTTGTAAATGGGTCTCCTTTGGGTTATGCATAAATTAGCTAATTAAACTCACTGCATAGGCAATATCTGGCCTGGTATGCGACAAACATATAAGTCTGTCCACTAATGCTGGTACATATCTTTTTCAACAGCAACATCTTCTACATTTCCAAGCTTTAGGTTTGGTTCTAATGGGGTACTAGCAGGTTTGCAAGCTGCCTTGCGAGTTTCCTTGAGCAAATCAGTGATGTGTTTCTGCTGGGATATAAATATCTCTTTCTTGGAGTGGGCAACTTCAATTCCCAAAAAATATTTTAGTTTTCCCAAGGTCTTGATCTCAAATTCCTTGCCTAAGCATTGGCTCAACAATTGCTGCTCTTCTTTATTATCTCCAGTTAATATTATGTTATTCACATACACCAATAATATTGTTACTCCCCCTGACTTGGAATGTTTAAAGAACAAAGTATGGTCCCCTTGGCTTTGTTTGTAACCCAGACCTGTCATAACTTTAGTAAACTTGCCAAACCATGCACAGGGGGACTGTTTTAGCCCATATAATGTCTTTTTCAACTTGCAAACAGTGTTGGCAACAACATCTCTACCATATCCCAGAGGTATCTCCATATAAATTTCTTCTTCAAGGTCTCCATGTAGGAAAGCATTCTTAACATCAAATTGTTCCAAGTTCCAACCATAATTGGCATCAAGGGACAATATCACCCTAACTGTGTTCATTTTGGCAACCGAAGTAAAGGTCTCCAAATAATCAACTCCATAGGTTTAGGTGAACCCTTTGGCAACTAGTCTTGCCTTATATATCTCAATTGATCCATCAGCCTTGTATTTCACTGTATAGACCCACTTACATTCAGCTGGCCTCTTTCCTATTGGTAAGGTGACTAACTCCCAGGTGTTGTTCTTCTCCAATGCCTCCATCTCTACATCCATGGCCTGTCTCCATTTTCTGTCAGACAATGCCTCAAATAGGATATTAGGTAGAAGTGTAGTGTTTAGGTTTACTAGGAAGGTTTTATGGGTAGGAGAGAAATTTTTAATGGACATGTAATTTGAGAGAGGGTAGAGTGGTTGTTTGGTGCATTTTCTTGTCCCTTTTCTAATGGCAATTGGGAGGTCAAGATCATTTTGGGTTTCAATTTCAACCTGCACAGCTGGAGAAAAAATTGTTACCTCTTTTTGTGGAGTCGAGTTGGATTTTTGAACATGGCTTGATCCTGAAATGGCCTTAGTCTTCCTTGAGTACACTAGCTTCTTACCAAATTTTCCAGATTCAACATCTCCTTGATCAGCTTCATAATTAATTTCACCTTCTTGACTAGCTTCCTTTTCTTGATCAATTCCTTTACTTGTTTCACTTGTTATAGCTTCAATTTGATCTCGTTTAGGTTCAAATATCAAGTCTGGAAGAATGGTACTTTCAATTTCTATTTTCCTTATCTTCCCTGAAACTCTCCCCCTAAAGATAAGGTTGATGGAAGGAAATAGCCTTCTTGTTAATTGAAGGTAACATCCCTAGACACAGAATTTTTTGGATGTGGGGTGATAGCATTTATACCCTTTCTGAGTGGGTGAGTAACCAACAAAGACACACTTTAATGCTCTAGGATCAAATTTCCCCCTGTCTGTACTATAAATATGGACATATGAGATGCACCCAAAAACTCTTGGTTTAAGATTATTTGTAGTGGATAGGTTTGGATAGAAAGACGACAAAGCTTCCATAGGGCTTTTTGATCCTAAGACTCTAGAGGGTAGTCTATTGATAAGGTATGTTGTTGTAAGGACAGCATCCCCAAAAAAAATTTTTGGGACACTTTTTTGGAACAACAATGCCCGAGTTTGATTTAATAGATGTCCATTTTTCCTCTCTGCGACCCCATTATGCTGTGGTGTTTTGACACAAGAGGACTCATGAATTATACCTTCTTTTTGACAAAAAGAATTAAGGACATGATTGAAGTAATCTTTGGCATTATCTTACCTAAGCCTCTTAATATTAACATCAAACTGATTTTTTATCAAGGAGTGGAAGTTTAGGAAGACAGAACTGACTTTGATTTTTATTTAAGTAGGAAAACCCAAGTGACCCTTGTATAGTCATCGAGCACCAGACACATTTGGAACATTAGAAGGTCCACATACACCAGTATGAACAAGAAAAAAAGGGAAATTGTTAATTTTATTACTTATTGGAAAAGATACATGCTTGTGTTTAGCAAGTTCACACACCTCACAATGAAGACTCTCAACATCTAACTTGATAAACAGAGAGGAAAACATAATTTTGATCACTCCAAAAGAGGGATGTCCCAACCAACAATGATAAAGCATGATTTTTTCTCTGTTGGTCATCAAGGATTCAGATATGAAGGAGTGAGAGATTTTGTTCTTGCTGGACAGACTTGGATCTTCGAGATAATAAAGGTCATTCCATTCTTTAGCATGTCCAATCATCCTCCCCGAATCCTTGTCCTGAAATACACAATGATCGTTGAAAAAAACAACTTTACATGACAAATCCTTTATATGTTTTTGTATAGAGACTAGGTTGGTGGACAACTTTGGGACATGGAGAACATCTTTTAAGGTTATTAAAGGATTGATTTGGATATTTCCTTGACCGACTACAGTTATAAGAGTTTCATCTGCTGTGACAATTTTCTTGTTGCTGGGACATGGGGAATATGTGGAGAAGTGTTTGGCTAATGGTGTCATGTGGTCTGTGGCTCCATAGTCCAATATCCAATAATGGTTAAAAGGTGTATCTGAGACATTTAATCCAAAAGAAAGTGGAAACTTACCTGAGTATGCCAAAGAACACACACCTGTAGGTTTTTCCAGCTTACTAAGAAAGGTTCTCACCCTTTCTATCTCCTCTTGGTTAAGATGGGCAACAACTTTTGGATTATTTCCTTCATTTGTTTCAGCACCTTTCCTTAAGGAGCCTCCTCTGTGTCCCCCTTCTTGATCTCGATTTAAAGGCTTCCCATGTAACTTCCAGTACTTCTCTCGGATATGACGAGGCTTATTGCAGAAGGTACACCAGAGACCATCACCTTTCTTCTCCATATTTGTTGATCCTCCTTTCTTGTGTTCGGCTACCCCCTTTCTATTCATCACTGTACAAAAAAGTTGGGTCCACTTCAAATAATTTCTTCCATTTAGTCTATATGCAGAATGAATATTCTGCAGTTCTCCAGATTGTTAGGATTGGGTATTCCCTGTTTCTGGGGTTGGGTTCACAACTTCCTCTTCCCTTGACATTATAGCAAGAAGGTGCGATGCAGCAGCAATGCAGACTGCCGTCTTAGGATTAAGAAAAATGCAACAGCAATGCAGGCTGCCGTCTTAGGATTAAGAAAAATGCAGCAGCAATACAGGCTGTCGTCTTAACGTTTATAGTGAGCAGACAGTACTTCCTACTTCCTAGATCGGAAGCTCTGATACCATCTGGAAAATTAGATTAAATGAAATCTTATTTTATTATATTAATACAAAGAGATGATACAAGATATATACATGAGACCTAAGCTATTTTAGGAAATATAATAACTCTATTTTATTCTAGGATCCCTTGATTTATGGGATTGTTCCTAAGTGTTCAAATCTATACAAATTACAAATTTCTTAATTTATTCTTTCCTAAAATACTATTTGATTTCCCAAAGTTCCGATTAGGAGTAAATAATTTTCTATTTCAACATCCATACATGTATCCCCTGCTATGTATAAATACCAACTTAAAACTGCCCACATTATCTGGACTTACCTCACTTTTCCACAAACTTTCTCTATACAAGGGAGGTCAGTTAAGGTTTTGATAACAGAAGAAATGAATTAAAAATTAGAAAGACCAATTGAAGGAAACCAAAATGCTAAAGCAATTATTATTAAATATTTCTCAGTTAATCACAGTACTAAAAAGTAAAATATTTTTCTACATTTTTTCTTGTCCCAGTACAAATAATTCAAAGCCAATACTCATTCAAGGACAAAAGGTTCCTCATTCAGTATCTGAAATAATTTTAAAGAATATTCATTGACTTGAAAGAAACGCAATCTAAAGGTCTTCCAAATCCAAAATTTTTGCACAGATGGAACTACAATTCAAATTATGTAGTTCAATTTAGCCCGTATCATGCAGTACCTTAAAGGTTTAATCATACTTAAAACAACTATCAACAATGAATCATCCAATGGAAATATACCTACCTGATCGACATAACTTCAACCTCCATACTCAAACATCATCATCTTCAAGAAAATGGTTGTTTCTTTAACTGAGTGTTTAAATATATAAATACATAGCAGGTCACTCTGTCAGATAGTTTTAGGCTCCACTATTTTATTTTTGTTGAAAACCTATTTTTTTTTAAATTTAGCATAATAAATTGACAATAGGGGACCATATCCTCCTACCAAATTTATGTTGCATAAAGCAAGTCGATATTGTTATCAAGTGGTACATAGAAAAAATAAATAAAAGGAATCATTCGTTAGATAACTTAAATGATAAATCAATTACTCTCAACATTTTGCAGACACGTATTAGGCCTAGGGCGATGACTACTGATGTTTACTCATTCTCATAAAAAAGACTCACAACTCAATTACTGATGATTACTTATTCAATACTAATCACAGGCAAATGTTTTGAAGACCCCATACTTCTACAAAACAAGCAAAAAGAACCCATAACAAAATCAAATATAATGAGACCCATTGCACTAGTCTGTATCTATGTTGAATCATGCCAAATATTATAGCTACCTTTGAAATAAATAATGCTTCAACACTACTAACCCTAATTGCTAGAATAAGAATTAGTGAAGTTTATGTGGAAAGATTTGTGTGCATAAATCAATTAGGATATACACACTTTTAATCATTATAATGCCAGCTCTATTCAACCGTAATTACTTAATTTCTTTCCTCAATGCCTTAGAACTTATATATTAAGCAGTACATTGGACACAGTCCAACACAAATAACCTAACATGAATCCAGTATTCAAACATCAAATAAGATAAACTCTTGTAAATCACATCAACCAACTTGTATCAGCAAATAGTGAACAACCCTACTGATCACTGCAGGCCAAAACATATACGTGATTTAAGCTTCCAATCAGCTTCAATTGCACTCATACCAATCAATCATGACTTATGTGATAGTTCAAAAAGAGCCCATTCAAAATGCTTCTAGCAAGCATTTTACAACAAATGCCAAACACATTGAACTTATATCACTACTAAGAAAAAAAAAATGAAAAATTAAATACTACAAAATTAATTTGAACATGAATGCATTCAGCACTAGTTCTAGGGAAACATTTTAGTGTTTCATTTAGAAAATAAAATTATTGTACAACATTAAATAAAAGCTCCATTACATCATAATATATGTACAATGTAAGTATAGGTAAGCATATTAACCTTTTTTAACAAGTCCACCTCATCTGTTCTAGTCTTCTTTACATATCCAGGTGGTGGAAATGGAAAACAGCGCGACATTGTACAAAATCCAGATATACCCAGTTAAAAATTCTTCTAAATTTGAGAGTGCTAGAATTAGTTTCCAGTAGCCCTGTTCCAGAAAAGGAACGAACCAGCAACTATGCTCTTGTCCATACACCATGTCACCGTGCTCATTTCCAACTCTAATGTTCCTCCATAAGCCTTTTACAACAAACACAAATTGTGGAAACCACCAAGGTTTACTACCCTTCACCAAAATATTTAAACAACTCAAACTATACTACTACTGGAAATTGATTCAAAATCAATGCACAGCAACCTGGCGGATGGTTCAACACAATTCCAATCAGTACACAGCTACTACACTGGTGTTAAGCTCAATCTAATATCAAAGGGCTGCTTCAGAAATGTAAAAGGACCACTGAAATCAGATACTCTAAGCTTCCTTGTGAGCAAACAAAGAATTATCAGCTTCTTCTTCGCATCAAATCCAAAATAGTCCCCTAACAAAGACAAAATGACAGAGGAAGAACACCAAAAATGAAGACCCAGATGTCAAAGAAGGTCTCCAAATATTGATCACTGATCCCCAGTTATTAATAGACAATCTTCTTCCATACTCAAAGAAACAATGTTAAAGACCATCTTAAGCAATCTCCAATTGCAAGTGCACAATATGAACCTCTAAAATGGTCACAGCCTGTGCCCATTTCACGCAGCAACCTCACGCAGAGAATGAACTAGCACAGTCTTCCTTCCAATCACACCCTCTGATGAAAACCCCTAATCACTCTGGGAATTTTCCGACACGCCGGTTGCGATCCAACGAAACCCTAAACAAATACAAACAAGGTGAGTGAATAATACCCACGAATGAAGAAAACCCTAATCCCAATTCCGAAAACTTTTATTTATTAGACACATAAATAATAAAAAAACTTAAAGCAGCAAATTGAAGGGAATAAGGAGAATCAAACACTTTTTGAAATCTAAAAAATAAGTATCGATCAAAAGGGGGAAAAGATACTCTGATTGGAAGAGTTCACATGAAAAAAAAAAAGTGAAACACATATTAACGAAGTGAAAATTGTTGCCTAAGATTACCTAGTTCGCTACGAAGTTACCATTGTAGGAAGACAAGATCTCTCTTACACATGAAAGAATAGAGGAAAGAGAGAAAAAAACAATCTCAATATACACAAAACTATATATTTTTATATCTCTATGAGTGATATAATATATGATTTTGGAGAAGTACTATTGATTGTGGCTATAATATGCTATTGATATGGTAGAGCTTCGTTTTTTTTGTTCTCTAGATTTGTGGATTTTGTTTCTCTTTTGTTAGCCCACTGCTTCTCTTCCCTCTATCTGGTTTGTTTGTGTTTCTGTGCTTGGGTTCTTCTATAGTGTTGTGTGCTGTCCCGAATGCATATATCTCATCATTATTATTAATTGTTAGTGATATTCGTGGCGTGTTTCACTTTCTTTATTTATTTTTATTTTTTATCACTTTCTTCTTTCTTCTGTTCGTTCTATTCCTAGTGACTAATGTGCTGTTTTTGCGTTCGGAAGTTACACGCGAGAAGGAAAAATAATTCAAAAACTCAAACCCCGAAACCGGAACACAAAGCAAGGGCAACTATGGAATGACCAGCAAAAGCACATGTCGATCACACCACATGTATGGACGAGTGATATAACATGTCCAAGTAAATTCATTTCTCATTCTTTTTTTATAAACTTTATCATTTTGCGGTAAATTGGTGAAAATTCAATTTATAAAAGAAAATCTGATTTATGAAAGGTATAACCAATTGGTCTCTAAAGCTTATAATTTGTGAGATTAATTATATCAAACCAAGACTAAAGGAATAGAATATAAAATAACTAGGAAAATAAAACCAAATCAAATATAGAGATTAATGCATAAACTTAGAAGGAGACCATAAGTAAAAATTTACCTAAATGTAAAACATGGTAATGCATTTTTATCTTTCAAAACCTAAGTTAGTAAGAAGATTGAGGGTGGTCCCATTAATCAAAACTATACATTGCAATATTTATATAAATGTTTTTCTACCAAAATAATATCATTATTCATTAAGTAAGGTTTTGGTTTACAAAAAGTAATGATTAAATTTGATATAATTTTTAAACAATTTAATTCAATCAATAAAAATAACTTTGAGTTTGGATACCTAGAAATATTTGCATTTATTTTTATATCATCTTCGTCAATTGATTAAACTAATTGGAAACAATATCAATAACTTATAAATTAAAATAAATAAAATAATTAATATTAATGAAATAGAATATAAAAATTAAAATAAAATAAAATAAACATAAAATTTTATGGTAAGTAGGTAACATGTATCGGTTGATTTGTTTGCATAAATTCATTATTTAATTTAGTAAAAAAATTCAAGTTGAATTGGGTTGAGTTTTTTTTATTATTATTATTAGACCTAATCTTTCTCAGTTTATCATTAATTATATTGGATCATTTAGGTCATAATTTTTTTAAATATGTTTAGAATTTTTAGAATAATTATTTTAATAGTTTAATATTTTTAAAAATATATGCTTAATAGAATACCTAAATATTAATTATATGATTGATTCGGTCTTGAATGCAACATATTAAAACATATTAAACTCATCAATCATTCAGAAGAGATTGAATTAAATAAATTTGAGGGGTATATTTGGTCTAATTTCATAAAAAAAATTAACTTTATTTGTTTGGATTAAATTGGATTGTTAGGTTATCCGACACATAAAATACCTAAACTAAAAAAAGTGAAAAATAAATAATTAATCGTGTTAGAATTTAAAAAACAACCAAAATTTAAAAGATTTAATTACAACATTTTTGTTATGGAGTACCAAGTTTATATGAATTTAATTTCAAATTATAATTGTGTGAAACAAATCTTTAAATACAAAAAATGTGACTTTAATCACTTAATTTTAATTGTGTGAATTGAGAATTCAATCATGGACTTTAGTCCTCGCAGTTTTAGTTACAAATGTCAATATATTATACTTGATTGAGCAACTAAAATGAGACAAACTAACTATTTGACATAATTGAAACTAGACAAATAAAATCACACATTTACACTATCTACAAGATTAATTATCACAATTAAAAACTAAGATAATAAAATTGTACATTTATGATATAGCAGGGTACATTACCAATTTCTTAAAAAAAAAAAAAACGAAGGACAACACGAATCAAACATGAAGAACAATCTCGAGAAATCATTGACATTAGAAAAAGCCAATATCCTACAAGCAGAGCTTGCTCATCAATATTAGATGCCTTTTGCACTCGTTCATAAGAAAACATACAAAATATGTATTTTTTCTAACAGTGTGTCTTGGCAAGTAAAGGAAAGAGATGATTTGTAATCTTGGTAACAAAGGATCTAGGCAAGTATCTCAGTGTCCCAATCTTCTTTATAATTATTATTTTTTTATCTATTATTACTTTTTAGATTTTATATAAAAAAATAAATAATTCAATTAAAATAAAAATCTCATCTCATCATTTATTTTTAAATATATTATTATTTTATTTAAAAATTGACTTAAGCATGAGTTTTTTTATATATATATATATATATAAATGAGTTTTTACTCTTTTAAAAAACTGTTATTTTCAATAACATTCGTACTGAGGTCGCAGTTAAAAATCTCTCCTCCAATCTCACTCTTTCTTGTCTGCACACTTTTAATTTTATAAGTGTAGAGGTTGGCTACACTCTAAGCAATTTGAAGCAAAAACTTTTATGGATTGAATTACTCTCGAAAATTTTGTGTTTCAGGCTACTGTAAGCTATCTTATGCAAATTGTATTCCATCTTTGTGTCAGTGTGATGAGATTTATATGCCTTCGTCTGGGGGACATACAGTGAACAAGAAAAATCTAACAGCTGCATGTTAACAAGTGATTTAAAGATGGACCAGTATTTTTTACATTTAGAGTAATTTGTAATTATAAGTTATTTCACATCGTATTTTCACCCCTCCTATTAACTAACCTACCATCAATTTTCGATGACACTCCGATGGTAGGTCATGTTTTGTAAATACATAAACAAGATTGGTCTTTGCATTTCTGGTAATATAGATCTAACTTGGAAAATTTTTCGTATAGCTACACCAAAAACTTTTCAGAATAATTAATTTCACACAGTAGATTTTATACAATCTGAACTTTACAAAATCGAGAATAAAGCTTACTGTTTTTTTTTTTTCATTCTTTTCAATACATATTTTTTTATATAAATATTTTACATGAAATAAAAATAAGAAAATTAAATAATTAATAATAAAAAAGACTCTAACTTCATGTTTTTATATTTTTAATTGAAGTTAATACATATATATTCTGTCCCATTTGTCAAAAATAAAAATAAAAAAATTAATATACATTAGTCACATTCTAGTAAAAACCTATCAATGAATATGCAAGGTTTATCTGGATCCCCTCCATTAAATTCAATCAGTTGATAGGTATATTTTACACCAATAAACACTTAATCATATATGTAGTATATTTTAGGTGCAACGTCTGAATGTGCAAGTGAGTAGAGTAGCAGGTCCCTCCCTCATGTTGCTTTACTTTTTCAATGTTGCTTAGTTGAGGATATAAGACCATGTCCTCCTTAATTTACCAAGTTTATGTCTCGCAGATAATTGACTAATTCATTTAATTTACTTTCTAACATGTTTCATTTAGTAAACAAATTTTCTTAATATTTTATAATGTTAAAAATAAAAATTGTTTTTTTCTTATATTTTATTCTTAAAATATGTATTTAGTTTATTTTTACTATTTTCTATTTAGACGTGATTCTATTATTTTATTATCCATTCATAAGATCTAACTTTATTACTTTTACTTTTTTGTCATAAAGTAAATTTTTTTATTTTAATTTTCACTAAATGAGATATTTACAATAATAAAAATAAGTTTATTATTATTATTTTAACGATTACATTATTTACAATATCTATTTACTATTTCAACATCATACTTCAATATATAATTTTGATAAATGCTATACTTGCTTTATTTTTATTATTTTTAATTTTTTGTATTATTTTAACTCCTTTTTAAATATCCCACTTCTGTTATACGTCATTTTAAATATAAATATTATAAGATATAATGTAAGTAATAATAAATCCGTAATATGAAAAATATATAACAAATAAAAGTAAAATAAATACATCAAAATAATTTATATATAAATAAAATGTTATAAGAGTTTAAAACTGATTAAAAAAATAAAAAATACCCTCAAAATATATTTTATCAAATCAATTATTGCCAACATTTTACAGAGAATGACAACTGAATAGATTCTCCTCCTTAACCATGTATGAGATGTACAATAATGTAATGCATAGATTAATCCTGTAACTTACCCACATTTATAAACCTCCGTCCCCTCCTCAAAAAATGATGTAAATCTAATAACGAAAACCTAAAAGCCCATAAATAAATGGCACAACTTGTTGCAGTATCTTTCATCAAAATTGTTGCAAGCCTAAAGCAAAATCCCAAAATATCATAAATGAACCCCCCAAATCTTGTAAAGCGATTCAGGCATTCGAGGTCCTTACTACTTGATTTAAAGTCATCATTTCATTAAAAGATATATATTTAGATCGTAGTAACTTAAGCAGCAAAAGACTGACCATGTTATATTTTCTTTATTATGTAGTTCAATCCAACCTTGATCATGATCATTAGAGCAAAATGATTCAATGACCAATAAATAAACTTTACAGGAAACTGAATCAATGAATCCGATTAGTTTTTTTCCCCTCTATCATACATATTCTCGTAAATAAGAGTTTTATGTTACAAATCAAAATTGTGGACGAGTTGTAAAGATCACGTCTAGTTTCACTTAAATATTCTGATTCTCAATTAGAAAGAGCAGCTCAGCTCTCAGCAAAAATAGAATAACAAGTTGCACAACCTTGTACCTCCCCCCTCTCATCGACCTATACAGAGTCTCATGTCGTCTAAATGACTAGGATGCACAAGATAGGAACTGCACTTCCAACCAGGTCTGCAAATGCACTGAACTTGCAACTTGCGATAGATGTTTCTCTTCCATCAGTAAAAAATCAGGGCAAATCAGTCAGGCACAAGTCTGAATCCAAGCAGTTTTAAGATCAAGGCAATCAATCACTCACTCACTCAATACTCTTTGCTGCCCGTATGCAAGTAACAAAAGAATAAATGAGAAATTTGGTATCATCTTCCAGCCCATGCCACAGTTCCTCCTGCACTTAGTGTTATTGGAGGGTTCCTTGTGCATTGCGTGACAATCAAATAATCAATCAGTATGGAATGACATATGGAAGAGCAAAAACATCTGCTGACTCTATGTGCAGAGCTTCGGCCCATACCTGTGGTGTATCCCCAACCTCTGAAGATTGCACCACAGATTTTCTTTCTGGTGAAACAACGCTGTCAAATAGCCACTTTTGATCATCAAAATCAGACCACTGATCCACCTTAGGTACTGAATATACCTGACCTAGGTACTTGGAGTCTGGATGGGATGGCTTTGCAGAAGCTTCAGTTATAAAATCAACTGGCACAATAGCAGTGCGAGTCTTGTTTGAAGAAGCTGAAAAAGGCTGAGTTTCAATGATGCCATTTTTCTTGCATTCTTTGTTTTCTACCTTAACACTGGTGGCTACTCGTGGCCTATCCGAAGCATTTGGCATGGAAGGTTCCAATATCCTTCCATTTTCAGTGAATGGATGAGAGGAAGACAATTTTAGAAGTTTATTGGGCAAACTGTCATTAACTGTAAGAATTTTTTTTAAAAATTATAACTTGTCAGTCAACAACAAAATATTATGTACAAACATAAATACAACCTAACAGGATCACTGAATAGAAATGAGACAAGACTAGTCAAAAGTAACACTCACCACGTGGAACTCCATTTGACTCAATGTCCTTCCTCTTTTTGAGATTTTCCCCACTAAAAGCATCCTCGTGGCTGTTTCTAGAAAGAACTGCAGAAGAATTTGAATCTTTAAGTCCAATTTTGTCGTTTTCTTTTAATTTATTTTGCTCTGTTGTTTTAAGTTCACTACACTGCTTAGCTTTCTCCTCTTTTTTCTTCTCTTTATCCCTTTCTTTGTTCTTCCCATGCCCTTTCTTCTCCTTCTCTCTATCTTTCCTTTTATCTCTTCTTTTATCGTCTTTTTTTTCCTTAACCTTTCCTTTTCCTTCATCTTTCTTTTCCTTAACCTTTCCCTCTTCTGTCTTTTCCTTGGTCTTTTCTCTACCTTCATCTTTCTTTTCCTTAACCTTTTCTTTGCCTTCAACTGTTGCTTCCAAATTCTTTTCAAAATACTTCCCCAAAACTTTTGGTATTCCATCATCTCCAGGATGAAAATTTCCAGTATGATTCTGAACTGGTGAATTTCCAATAGGTCGGACCTCAGCCTGTACTCCTCTAGCATCAATTTTCTTAACATCAAGACCCTTATCCATGAGTTTTTCATTACCATCAAGCCTGGAGCCACCACCTTTAGCCACCAGCCTAACAGTCCCCTCATCTTTTCTATGGTTTGCACCAGTAAAGGTATGAACGAATTGATTGTTAGCTCCCCCATCATCATTCCTAATCCTCCTGTCCAACTCCAGGAGGAACCTTGAATCCGTATTCTCCTCAGCCAGAGGATTTTTATCTCTTGCCTTCTCCCCATTGTTACCAGAGTACTGTTGGGTGAGTCTGTTTTCAAATAAGATACCCTTCTTATCATCTTGCTTAAGTTCCTTTTGATGGAGATTACCAGTGTTGAGACCCTCAGCTTGTCTTGGAAACCCTTTGTCATCTGCAGAGATGATTTTACTTTTATCTCTATCTTTGCTCTTGTCCTTTTTCTTATCTTTCTTTTTCTCTCTGTGTTTTTCCTTTTTGTCCTTCTTTTCCTTGTGCTTTCCATCTCTTCCTTCTTTGTCCCTCTTCTCCTTACTTTCCCTCTTCTCTTTGTCCTTCTTATCTTTCTTATGTTTTTTCTCTTTCTGCTTTTCCTGCAAGTAACATGGAGACATTAACAACCACAATCAAATAAGGATATGACCACAATGGCTTCACAACCTCTACATGCAAGAGAAACCAAAGGATAATATATCAATAGTAACATGCAAAAGAAAAAAAAATGGTTCTTGTGTTGACAATTATAGATATCCTAGGAAGAAACCAAAACAATAAAAACCAGATCAAAGTCTACGAACAAAGTGCTTGAGATTTTAGGAGAGCACATTTTTGTTGGATTGAGTACTTATCACTAGACAAAAATCTATAATCATTAGTCATGACAATTCTTTCTACTTAAGAACATAGCAGCCCAACCACCATGATTCGATTGTGACTTGACTCATCTGACCTCCATCATGAGACAATTGATGCACCGCACAATAATCTCCCCCTCAGCAATTTTTCTGCCTGGAATCGAATTTGTGACCTTGGCTCTGATGCACTCCGCAACAATTTCATCCAACTATTAACCAAACTAAGGGAAAACACAATTCCATTAAAGTATAACAGTTCACTTTGATGCCTTACTAAGCAGTTCCCATGATTAGATTCTTTAAATGCAACAGAAAGACTTTCTTTCTTAGATGCTAATGCTGGCCCTTCTGACTATATTTTCTTTCTTTTTTGCCTATTGCCACATATTACAAATAAGATATGCTATGACAATTTCAAAGGATATTCTGTATTATACGCCTTGAAATAATAAGATCAGAGAAGTGCAACTGACTGTTTTATTAAGGATGGCAGATAAGAAACTCCAGCAACTAAAATATAATGTCTAGTATATCCCATAGATGAACCACAAGGAAACTTCTATGCTACCAACGAAAATTGCTTGTTCATCTTCTAAGTCACAAGAACCAATCTTATATACAAAGTCTACAACTGGGGGCAAAGAATTGAATCTCCACATTTAGTTTTTGATTCCATGAAAGTGCAGTGTGATTAAATGTTTCAATAAACAGACTGAACAGATCATTGAACTAATCTGACCATGAAACAGCTATGTGTCTAAGTTCAATCTAGGTTCAACTACCAATTTAACTAATTGAACCAAAACTCAATAGATGGAGAATGAAGAACCATATTATTAGGAATTTGTTTAATTAAAGTTGAGAAATACTAGGAACAAACTATTAGATACACTCTTGTCAACAAACACTCTTATTGGCTGAAATTTATTTAAAATCACATAACTTTGTGGGTCGCGTGTAATATTTAAGGAATCTCTCTTTATTTTGTAGTTTTCAAAAAATATCAACTAATAGAAGAGTGTTACAAAAACTATGTTAGAATATGTTCCTACCTCTCCTCATTAGTTTGACCAGAATTTTTTATTTTCTTAGAAATTATAATTTAACCAAGATTTATTATAATTGGTTATAAATGCCTTTTAATCCTCGTACGCTATTTAGACCTTTGGCATCAATATAAAATATTGAGACTTCCTTTTCCTCATACATGAAATTCTAATAGGAGTACTCTAATGACTCCACTAAATGGAGAAAGTAAAGGTGTCCTCACCTGCGGTTTGAAATGGGATACGTTTATAAGATAACCTAATTCAAATCAAGAGTGGAAAACACACTCACTTTTAAAGTAGCTAAATCCCAGTTCATCATTCTGCAAATAGGAGTACCCTAGAATTATTAATCTACCTCAGGTTTCACTAGTTCAATCTCCATTTTGATTTTGAAAACACTGGCATGATTCACGAATATGCTCTACAAGTCAACTCCTCCATAGTCTTGACGAACTTAATGTTAACAGTGAACTACTAATGTTTCAAAATAATACATTATAAAGCTTAGTAAAATGAGAAACAAAATGAAACTATTGAAATGTAATCATTTTAATAAGGAACAGATTGCAACTGAATGCAATCATTGAATTCAATTTGTGTAAGCATTAAACAAAAATCAATTTAATCACCAAAACTTCTTATATCAGCACTAAATGGATATTGAAAAGGATCTCCGATCAAAATGGGGACAAAGCCTAGTAAGTTGGTCTTTGTAAAGGAGAAGAAACTTGCAATTCTCTGAATATTAGAACCTGATTAGGAGAATGTTTGTACATCTAGTGAACAACAACCTCCATCCAATATCAAAATCCATACAAATGTCCCCCACGACATATAAATACCAGCTTAAAAACTGTGCGCATTATCTTACCTCGATTTTCCTCACCTTTTTTTCACAACCTTCCTCTATGGTAGGGAGGTCAGTTCAGGTTTCAGTAACAGAAGAAAGGAATAATGAAAATTAAAAAAAAAATAGAGGACTAATTGAAGGACTTTAGTCAAATTATAAACCAAAATGTTAAAGTAATTATTATAAAATAATCTCAGTTAATTTGCAGTAACTAAAGGAAAACATTATTCTAAATTTTTTCTCGTCTCCAGTACAAATAATCTAGGCAATACTCATTCAAGGAATAAAAATCCTCATCCAGTACCTAAAATTATTTTAAAGATTATTCTTTGACTTTAAAGAAAAACAATCAAGACCACAGTTTTCTAGACGTCCTCCAAATCTAAAACTTTTATGCAGATGGAACTCCAATTAAACACAAGTTGCAACTTCCAATTCAAATTATGTATTTTAAGTCAGTTCCTATCATGCAATACCTTAAAGGCTTAGGAGCAACTGATCTTGTTGCTCCCAGGCTAGGTATTGTAGATTGACATTACCAGTTGACACTGATCACTGCAGCTACTCTAAGTGTACACATGACAGTTGAAATTGACAGAGTCAGGTGCAACTGTGTAAAACTAAAAATAGAGGAAAAACTAACAATGTAAAGAAGAATATCTATCATACAATACCTTAAAAGGATTAATCATACTTAAAAACATCTATCAATTAAAAATACAAGGTAAACAGCCTTTGATCCACAGAAGTAAATCCTCTTCATAAGATGCTGCCTTAAATGAATCATCCAAAGCAATAAATCTAGTTGATCTACATAGCTTCAACCTCGAGACTCAAACATCGTCATCCAAAAAATGTTGCTTCTTTATCATTTTCTCTTCCTAAAATCCCTGCTTATAGGAAAGCTCAGCTACCTATGAGAGATGCTAGTGCTGACAGAATCCAATCAAAAGTGGACACAAAGAAGGGTCTAAGAGAAATAAACAAATAAAAGGAGAATTAAAGCCACTAGCCTAAGTCTCTCCAGATAATCAGATACCACTGGCACTGGGTAGCGGAAGTTTATTCCAGCAAGGAAACGAAAGGCTTTTTATTTTTTGGGTTTTTTTTGGGGGGGGGGGGGGAGAGGACAGATGTTAAGGCATGGATCAAAGATGCATGGTGGGGTGGGGGTCACGTACATAATCAGATATTAATATTGATGTTTTTCTAGAGCACCACTTCATGAAACTTCCAATGCAAAAGGAGTACAGAAGAAGTAACTTGTGAGTACGATAGCTTCCTCACTGAAAATAACTATGATCCTGAATGCTAAAGTACTAACAACACAGTATATTCAATCATCATACACCCTATCAACCAAAAAAAAAAAAAAAAACTAAACTAACAATTTTGCAAGTCAACACTAAACAAGAAGAATGATACATTTACATTTAAAATTAAGGAGAAAGTTGATTAGCATCATTTGTCAGTCAAATTGAGAAGTCAAAGCAGATACTTGACTAAAGTTCTAACCAGCAAGCATTCCTTTCTAACATAAAATGAACCTGAAGTTATTGATTTACATCCTTAACATATATGATCATTTTATAAAAAAAATCATAGTTGGCCCTGAAAATATGTAACTTATTAAGCTAATCAAGGTAAACATAATAGGAACTCAAGGGGTAACTAAAAGAATCTATATAAGAACAGTATACAAATAAACTTCCCAATGTTGACCACATCATTGTCGCAACCTCTTCTTCACTATAAAATAAACTTGACCACTTTTACATGTTTGGGGAAGAAATCTACCACAATTTCACCAATACGATGTGATTATAAAACAATGTTTCAGTTATAGACTTATGGCAGATAATCTGGTATGTCATCATTCAATAAAGGGTTCATGAATGATTAAATCAATTCAAATCACAGAAAAAAAAAACAATAAAAAAATCTGAAGGTATTACATATTTTCAAGGCCATCATCTATAAAGATGTTGGTTTCAAAAAATCAGCAAGTATTGCAAAATACATTAGAAGAATCTCAAAGCCACAAACATATGTACATACATACATACATACATACATACATACATATACATATATATATATATATATATATATATATATATATATATATATATATGTATGGACAATCTCTACCAATACTAATTTCTTACTTCAATACCTACGTGCCATGTAATAGTATCAAACACAAAGTTCATCTTTTAACAACAAAAGGAGCCATAACTTGATCTCTTATTCAATACTAATAAACAAAAAAAATCCATAACAAAATCATATAAAGAGAATATATTGTTTTGAAGTAAATGACACCTAAACACTTCTAACATGAAACCAAATTTCCTCGACTTACTATAAAACAATATATAAAATTGTCAAGAATTTGAATTAGGTGAATGACAATAATATGAATTAGATGATGTTTGTCACTTTGTGCATATGTCAAGCAGAGCATATACACTTTTAATCATCATAATATCCTTCCCTCTTCACCAGTAATAAAATAATTTCTCCTGTCATTCCTCATGAAACTTATATACTCAGCAGTGCATTTCAACATCATGAACTGCATTCAGCACTGGTTTTAGATTAGAAAATGAAGTTCTCAATGTATATGAATGTACATTCAACATTATGCAATTCACAGAAATACTCCATTTCTCATCAAGAATGGGTTTCAAATTATATGTACACTGTCAATATAGGAAAAATATATTAACCTTTTTTAACAAGTCCACTTCATCTGTGCTAGCCTTCTTTACATATCCTGGTGGTGGAAATGGAAAACAGCGCGACATTGCACAAAATGCAGATGCGTCTAGTATAAAATTCTTCTAAATTTGAGAGTGCTATAATTAGTTTCCAGCAGCACTGTTCCAGAAAGGGAACGATCCAGCAACTATGCTCCTGTCCATGCACCATGTCACCGCATTCATTTCCAGCTTTAATGTTCCTCCATAAGCCTTTTACTACAAACAAAAATTGTGGAAACCACCAAGGTTTACTACCCTTCGCCAAAATATTGAAACAGCTCAAATTATACTACTGGAAATTTATTCAAAATCAATGCACAGCACAGCAACCAAGCAACGGGTTCAACACAATTCCAATCAGTATATGTTTCCTATACTAGACTAACTACATCAATTCGAAGGTTGCTTCAGGAACGAGAAAAGGACCACTGAAATGAGATACTTCCTTACGAGCCAAATAATTTTTTTCTTCGTGACAAGACCCAAAATCAAAATCATCCCTCAGTAAAGACAAAAAAAAAAGAACACCAAAAATGAAGACACAGATAGCTTTGCACGGTTTTCCAAATCTTGATCACTGATTCACAGTTAACAATAGACAGTATTCTTCCATGCTCAAAGACACAATGTTAAAAACCATCTTAAGCAGTCTCCAAGGTAAAATGCTTAACCACAGTAGCTCTAAATCCACAATATGAACCCCTAAAAAGATCAGTGCTGGTGCCCATTTCACGACACCCCTCGCAGAGAATGAACAAGCACAGTCTTCTTCCAACACACGCTCCAATCAAAACCCTAATCACTTGGGAATTTGTCCGATTACAACAAATATCCAGCTACGATCCAATGAAACCCTAACAAAACACACAAGCCGAGTACACAAACCAAAAAATACCTACAAGGAAAGAAAACCCTAGTCCAAATTACGAATTTTTTTTTTATTAAAAACAAAAATAATAAATAAACAAATTGAAGGGAATAGAGAGAATCGAACACTTTTTTGGACCTAAGCAATAATAGGTATCGATCAAAAGGGGGAAAGAAGCTCTGATTCGAAGCGTTAACAAAGGAAAAAGTGGAATTGAGGAAGGAGAGTCCAAGTGAAATTTGTTGCATAAGATTACCTAGTCCGCTACAAAGTGACCATTGTAGGAGGACAAGATCTCTCTTTCTTTCACATTAATAAATAGAAGAAAGAGAGAACAATAATCTCAATATACACAAAACTATCTATATGTATTTGGGGGAAGTACTTTTGTTTGTGTGCAGTTGGTATGGTATGCTATAGTAGAGCCGTTTTTGCTCTCTAGATTCTGGGTTTTGTTTCTCCTTGTTAACCACTGTCTCTTTTCTTCTTTTGTGTTCTCTCTCCGATTAATGGGTGTTCATTTGCTTTTCTGTGATTGAGTTGTGTGTTGTTCCATTCATATATATTCACCATTATTGATAGCTTACAAATATGGTATTTTATCATGTTTTAAGCAAAATATTGTTACTTTTATACCCTTAACGATATTTTATATTTTTAATATTTATTATTAATTTAATATTAAATATACATATAAGATGATAAATATTTTTTTAATCAAGATAAATATTTTTTTAATAGATAACTAGATTAAGTAGTATATTTGTATTTTTTATGGATTATGTAATTAAATATATTTTTTTAATTTTTAATAAGTTGTGAACTGATATTATATTTCTTAAATAATCATTATTTTGTCACAAAATTCTATTTAAAAGAATGGCATATAATTTTTATTTTATAACATTATATGCTTATCATTTTATAGATAAAAAACTACTAATAAAAAAAACATTTAATATATTCTAAAATAACTATTTTGTATTAGTTTTATAATTGTCATTAGATCTTTCTATATTCAATATTTTTGACAATGACATGCTAAGTTTTTTTAAGAAAAAATTAAAATTTATTGTATTTTAAAGTTAAATACATCTTAAATTATTAAGGCTACCCTTTAAATGTATAATTTATACAAAAAATTATAATAATTCTATACAAATATGAAATTCAAATTAAGTGATTGTATGTATAGTAATGCATAAATAGGATATTTGGTTAATGTTATCAGTGAATATCTTTTGTTGTTTTTAACTGATAAATTAGTTTATTAGTAAAATGTAAGCAAAATTACAGTAAGTAAAATCAGTTTTGTACTACTAGCTTTTGTATTAAACTGTTCATTCATAATGGAGTATTTATAATATTTATTTGGATTGATATTTACAAATTATTAATTTCTAAGTAATATAAAAGAATAAGATTAAAATAAAAAATAAAATTTTTTTGAGAAAAAAATAGAAAAGAGGAAGTGGAGAAAATTATTCTCTACTTTCTGTTTTAATTTATTAAAAATGTAAATATTTATTATAACATAATTTTAAAAATAAAAAATAATGTTTTTGGTAATATATACATATTTAAGTTTCATATGACTGTTTTTATTATCTTTAATTTTTGTTATATTATTCTATATAAACATAAAATAATTTCTGTTTGTTATCTTAAAAATATATAAAAATTTTACAGTATTTATTTTATTCTTTATAGATACTAAGTTAGAAGTATGAAACATTTTTACATCTTTGCCCTCTAAGGGTGACCTACAAGTCACAAAAGGTAGAGTGAAATCACGCGCCATGTGCAGCACGTGTCTTTCAGATTTAAGAGAAAAAAATTGCATGAAAGACCATTTGCATGTGCTTTGGTTCTAATTACTACTGCAATATGCCAAGTGTACCGCACAGTCTGTTACTCCATCTACATGTCCTGCACGTGTCCTATTTCAAGACATGAGACTCTAGTTTTAAATATTTTAAATTTAATTTAATAATAAAAATGGGAAGTTATACTTTTTTTCACATAATTACCATCTTAATTTATTTTTGTTGGATGTTTATACTCTAATGTTAGATAATTCTTTAGAAAATGAGCTAAAGAAACTTGGTATATTGATGTAGGTTATGGAAAGACTAGTAATTGAATAGGTAATCATTTTTCTTAATACAAGTTAATGAGAGAGAGTACGAGAAGAATTGAAGTCTCAACACTACAATATATTTTTTACGAATTTTTACTGATAAATTTGTAATAGTTGAAAAAATGAGTCATTATAGACGAAAACTACCTACGAGATATAAAATATTTGTAGAATTTAGTCTTACCGAGCGAATATATTCATTGATAAATTAATAATTAGTTACACGACGATATATCCATCGATAAATCCGTTAATAAATTAACAATTAATTACCAACGAATATATTCCTCATTAAATTCATCGGTAAATTAACAATTATTTATCGACGGATATATCCATCGATAAATTAACAATTATCCGATCGGTAAAATTATATAATAATTACTTAATTTTAAATATATTCTAATAAATTAATTATTCACCTAATTAAAAAATTAAATATATTTTTTATTTAATAATTTAATTTAATTATAATTAGATTAATTTATAATAATTTATTAAATTAAATAATTTTAAAAAATAAATATTTAATTATATATAAATATATAAATATATTGTATTTATATATTTATATGGATATACATTTATTTGTATATAAATATAATTTATTTGTAAATTAATATAAAAAAATTATAATAGTTTAGTGGTTGAAGTATTAAGTTTTAATTAGATTTAAATGATGTCAAGGGTTTAGACCGTCGGTATTATGTAAGACATACCCTTCATTTTTTTTTCTTTTCTTAATATTTTTTTTAATATCTAATTTTATTACAGCTGTTATTATATAAAATAAGGGCAGATGAATATTATAATTATAACTTTAAATCATGACAAAACTATGAATATTTTGTTTGAAAAACGAGCAAAGGTGAAATGCATAGACAAAAATTATTATTTTATATTTTCATACTTTAAAAATTAAACAAAAATTGATATACATTTCTAAATATCTAAATTAGTGTTCCATCTAAATTTTACTTAAATTTCTTTCCCACAGAAAAAAAGTGGTTTACAACACGATATAATTAAAAATTAAGATAATAATTTTATATTTCAATATTTTTAATATTTTTAAGAATTAAGAAAAAATTGCTATAAATTTTCTATTACAGTTGTTATTATATAAAATAAGGGCAGATGAATATTATAATTATAACTTTAAATCATGACAAAACTATGAATATTTTGTTTGAAAAACGAGCAAAGGTGAAATGCATTAGACAAAAATTATTATTTTATATTTTCATACTTTAAAAATTAAACAAAAATCGATATACATTTCTAAATATCTAAATTAGTGTTCCATCTAAATTTTACTTAAATTTCTTTCCCACAGAGAAAAAAAGTGGTTTACAACACGATATAATTAAAAATTAAGATAATAATTTTATATTTCAATATTTTTAATATTTTTAAGAATTAAGAAAAAATTGCTATAAATTTTTTAAGGTTTAAAAAAAACTTTCAATCTTTTATCTTTTCTCTACTTAAATTTCATAATTTATTTCTATGTCTTCTTTCTAAAAAAATTACAAATAAAGAACTCGACGAGTTTGGATTTTGTTAAATTGCAACTGCTCCAAGAATGAGAGGGAGGTTTTTCTACGGAAGACACTCCAATATTTAAGTCATTAAAGTGTATATCATTTTTCTTATCAAAGTAACATATAATAAAAAACACTTGAAAATGTATAATTTATAAACTTTTTACCATATATATTTTAAGTAACAAAGATATACATATTTAATGATAATAATTTGTCTTTATTGCAAGTATAAATGATTTATATGTTACCTTATTAATACTCATTAAAGATAATTAATTCGGGAAAATATTTCAATCATTGAATCTGGATAGGTATACAAGCCCCTGAGTTCAAATTCTGATTATAATGAAGATGTATGAATTATAAAATTAATTGACATTATCTACCAAGTTTATTTTTCCCCGGCTTATTCATTACGAACTTATTCATCTCAAGCTTATTCATTCTAAGTTTGAGAAGTCTTTTCGACTCCCACTGAGATGACATTTGTCAAGGCATTAATGAAGGGTTTTTGCAATGATTTTACATTGTCAAGGGTTTTCCCTAAAAAACAATGCCCGAGATTAAATTGAAACCTCGTTTTCCCTTTACTACATTGTATCCTTCTCGAATCTTTGTTTCCTCGAGTTCTTTTAGCATCTTTTTCCTAGAGTTCCCAAATCTATTTGGTTTTTTGTGGAGCATTTCAATCTCAATCCCTTTCTTAGGTACGTCTCTATTGTCATGTTTTCTTCTTCGTAATCTAATGGTTCTATTGAACCTTTAATGGATCCTAGTTCCTCTATAAGAACTAGGAGGGGTATATTTCCTCTAATTTTTGACCTTGAGTATAGTTGGGTGCTTTGGGAGGTTTCCTATTATTCTTTTATTTCACTTCTTCTTCTTTGGTAGAAGATATTGTAAGCTTATGGTGTATGTTTTAACTTTGATGTAATATATATTAATGTTGGTCCTTGTACTTCTTTTGATTTAGTTTTTAGGAAACATTAAATGATGAAGATTTTACTTTTATATATAAATGTTTCTTCAAAGATTTAGATATTTAGGTTCCTTTTACAAATTTTGAATGCGACGTACTTTTTGTTTCATGCGTTGCTCCTAGCCAACTTCATCCTAAAAGTTGGGTTTTCCTCAAAACTTTCCAAAATTTGTGTGATGTTTTGGGCCTGTCTCCCACTATAAACAAGTTCTTATATTTTTAACAAGTAAAACATGGCAAAAAAGTTGATCAGGTGTCCTTGAACAAATATGGACATGGTGGTTTATTCACTCTTTTTTAGTCGTCCTTCAAAATTTCAAAAGTCCCTTCTTTAAAATTATTTGTGCTCAGGATGATCCCTCCTGACGTCTATTTTTTCATTTCGACTATGCTCCTCGTTTTTCTTTATACTGGAAAACTCCCCACAAATTTAAATCTCAAGCCGAATATCTGTTATCACCCAAGGACAAGATATAAAAATCTTATCTAGTCTTCATTGTCCTATTAGTTGTAGATATATTTTATCTTTTCCATTTACCAAGGACCTTAAAGCTCGATTTCTTGGTAAGCTTTATTTTGGTTTATTTGGAAAAAATTTCTATTGTAATTATTTCTAACTATGATCTTTTTTGCAGAAATCATGGGTCCTAAGTTTGACTATAAGAAGATTCGAAGTAAACTCGGAAGTCGAGCTCTGGAGCAAGCTTCCAAGAGAACTAGGGTGGCCCCTCTCCCCACTATTGAGGTCATCAATGAACCTAAGGTAAGGACTGTTTGTCCACCTACCAAAGAGGGTCTTTTACTAAGCTTGTGGCTTCTTGAAGAACCCTGATGAAATGAATCTTGTAGCCTATATCACATTAAAGATGTTGAAAAAGCAAGGATATGATGATTAAAGATTTTGATAATGATTCAAGAACAAAAGACTTCAAGATTAGACGACCCATATACATTTGAAATTACTTGTAATAATTCTGTTTTATCATTTTGAGTCTGTAAAAATAGAGTTCATGATAGCCAACACTTAGCCTATCCACAAAAGCTTCATTCTTATCAAGGTCGCATTGGAATAATTGATTATTGCTGATGATAATTGATTATCTTGGATAAAACTTTAGTTTTCTGAAAGTCACACTGGAATAATCGATTATTGCTTATGATAATCGATTATCCTGGATAAAACTTTAGTTTTCTGAAATTCGCACTAGAATAATCAATTATTGTTGATGATAATCGATTATCCTGGATAAAACTTTAGTTTTCTGAAAGTAGCTCTAGAATAATCGATTATCTCTGTTGATAATCGATTATCTATGGCTGTTATGGATCTAAATTCGAAATTGACTCTGGAATAATCGATTATTGCTGATGATAATCAATTATCCTGGAAAAAATTGATTTTCTGATATTGGCTCTATGATAATCGATTATCACTAATGATAATTGATTATTTGTTTCAGTTATGAATTTGAATTTCAAATTTCAGACCTAATTTTCAAAAAACCCTAAAATTCTATTTAAAGGACTCTCATGCTCTTTACAAAGTGACAAACCTTTTTCATACTCAGAAAAGTTAAGAGTTAAGATTGCTGGGAGAACTTTGAGTAGGGAAGAAAAATGGGCTTTGAAAACCTAGTGTGGACTAGAAGCGATAAGAATCATTGAGTGAGTTTCTCAGTGGATTGAGTATTGTGTCGTCTCTAGGAAAGCTGTCTTTATCCTTTGTGGCTTCAAAGGAGGTGTTCATCTCTTGTGAGACTCAAGAGAGGTGTTTTCTAATCCTTTTCTATTTGTAATCTGTTTATTTGAGAACCATTATTTTAGTGACTAAGTTAATCATCTTTTAGAGTGATTAACAACTAAACGTATGATCTTTTAATCCGAACAAGTATAAATTACTTATGTAATCTTCTTACCTTATCTCTTTACTTTTCAAGTACTTTATTATATTATCGTTTAATTGATAAAATATTATGAAAAGTTTTTAAAGGGATAATTTTTATAAGAAATCAATTTACCCCCTCCCCTCTTGGTTTTTGTCTTAATGCAAACATTTCGTTATGCAATTCTAACAAGTGGTATTAGAGCTTGCTTTGATAGTTTTTCAAATTTTTGAAAATGGCCGAAAAAACCAA